GTTGCATACCTACTTATCTGAAATTGAATTCAAATTACAAAGTGCACACATAAATAATGATAGCGTTTTCTTAGTCACATTTAACAAAATCAGTGTTAGATTATCGAAAAATTTTCGCGGTTTACAAAACAAAGCACTAGTCTTCTCGCCTGCTCGTAGTCCACTTAAGGAGTAGGCTTGGGCAAAAAATAGCGATATATCGATATTTATTTTAGAGTATCGAATTCGTATCAATTTTGATAGAAGTATTAAAAAAAAAAGTTGTATTAATGAGCAAAACATGATACTACCACAGGTTCTACAAAAGCATTCATGTGTGGTTGTCGTTTTCTTTTTTCGTCGTCTAATCGTCAGTGATGTAAAATTTTGCCCCTTATCCTAACATCATGCAAATGATGCCAATATATCCATATTTATCACGCGATATATATCGATACCGTTTAAAAATATCGATTCGATATATATCGATATATTTTTTCCCTTGAACATCCCTATAAAAGAGTTACGGAGAATAGACTGTAACTTAGTACGCAATTTATTAGCCGCAGAGCCCCTCTAGTAGTATACATATGTCTTAAATTTAATAATATTATTTAATTCGGTGTTGTAATAAGAATAAACAAAAACGGGGAAAATATTTTCATGATTTTTTTCGTATTGCGCAATTTCGTCTATCTATTCACAACTTTATTGAAATATGTTACTTTTTATTACCTTCAAGAATAAATCTAATATGTATCTCACACATTCTTCGTGATTACAAGAGTTATGAGCATTGCAACGATCAAAAAATAAAGATAGTGTTTTTTATTTGTCAGTTACTCTCATCTCTATGTTCAGTTGCAGGAATAGTATTTTGTAATAGATTAAGACAAGTCCGCTGCTTAACATAGGGGACGCCACAAAGCACGGTCCTGAGCCGCTTGCATCCACCCACTACCTGCATCTCTTACCGGATCATAACGTCACGTCCCTGTTGTCTCATTCATATATTCAAAAAGAGAAAGTGATTTACTTTAAATCTCCAAATAGCTTTGACTCAAATTAAATGTTTTTTTTTTTAAATCTTGGACAAGTTAGCCTACGAGTTCTAAAAGAATAGTAATTAACTCTGCCTTAAATATTCTTTACCCTTTTCAATGTCAGTACTGTTTCATTGATCTTAACATATACATATATCCTTCATTCGCACAACACATAATCCCACATTTCGGCCTTCACTCACCACTTATTACAGGAATATTAAATAATTAATAGAATTATATTAAAGTTAGTAAAAATGATATGGGCAAAGTAATTTTTTACTAACTTTAACGGAATATTAAACATCTTCATCATATTATAAATTCTTGCCTTGCGTATCTTCGATTCGATAGAGCATTAATAGTACCTATTAACTTAATTAAGAAAAGGGAACCAGGATATGCTAATTTAATACTTAATAGAAAAACAGTATCTGGTACTTAAACACTATTTTTAATTACTTGAAGTTGGTTCCACCTCTTCTCTATTAATACCAATTTCATAATATATGATTTATCGGAAAAGTCCGTAGCTCGTAAATAAATAATTTAATTATACACTCGACTTGTCGATGAGTCTATATAATATTTCTTCTTTTTTTGTGGCAGTTTGGTACAATTCGCCAATGACGTATTAAATGGAAAATGAAAGTCTGTGATAATACAAGAATTTACTTTTCCTCCTAGAATTATGACAAATATATCTGTTAAATTACCTATATAATATATATATATATATATATATATATATATATATATATATATATATATATATATATATATATATATATATATATATATATATATATATATATATATATATATATAATTCAGCAAGAGTTCAGGGACACATTTGACAGTTGTTCGTGGTTTTACAGAATTGTCAAAACAGTTTCTCATTAAGTGACCTTCAACCTTTCCTATACTAAATACTCTAATAGTTTTGTTGTTGTAATGTTAACACTTATTTTTTTTATTACAATATTAAAATAACTGGCAGTAAATTTGCAAGGCATACATAATTACAATCGTTTTATAAAAACAGTATGAGAATAATCAAAAAAAAAAATCTATATTTCTAAACGGCGAGTAATAAAAATGAACTAAACATAATAATAATTCGGGGAATAAAATTAAATAAAAAATTATTTGTTACGATTGCGTCTTTAAAAAACTTTTACATTTAGACCTTAAAAGATATTTAAAAATAAATTTACATTTTGTATAAAGTGTAATAAATAAATAAAATAACGTAAGAAACTTTTAAACATTTCACGCTAATTATTTTTTATGTTTAGACATACTACGATATTGTGTTGTATTGAGGACTTGGTACCTCATATTGAAGCCTTGACAAAAGAAGACTTAGTTCCGCTGTGTCTGCAGTTAATAAAACAAAGCCTTATCTTTTATCATTTCCATAAATGATGTGGATACAGTAAGAATTGTTTGTTTCAGCTATTGCCATAGTGTTAATTCCTATGGATTATTGTTGTAGGGATCTATTCATACAACTTACAACATTAGACCAAGGGAAGAGAACTTTGTAAAGAAATTAATATCTTGACTGTTGTGTCACCGTTAATTTTGTATAATAGTATTAATGTAAGAAACCATTGTCATACCTTAGATTTTAGCACATACAATAAATCAAAATTGGCTGTTCGAAAGTACAGGCTTTGTAAAGTAGCGCTCATTTTTCTAGAACTATTTATAATGATATTAATATATAATATAACTAGTGCCTTTGAATAAATTCAAAGCACATTTATTAATTATTAAAAATAATGTCCACTCTTATGAAGAATTAATATTACTTTTAATATTGATTTCATTACATAATTATTTAAAAGATATGGTATGCATGGACTATTTTTTTACGTAGTATAGCCATGCTGCAGCTATTTAGTAGTATAATTGTAGCACGAATAGGTCGGCTCGATCGGGGAAGCACCACGCCTTAACAGAATACCAGCGTGAAATAGCAGCTTAACGCTGCTGTGTTTCGTATGGTGAGTGTAGAGAACCAGAGACCATTTTTACTGGAAAAGAGGCATTCCATCTTAGTCCTGAGAGGTGACAACGCATTTGCATTTTAATTCTTTATTGAGGGTAGATCTCTTTGGGACACAGCATCCACTTACCATCAGGTGGACTGTGCGCTCGTTTGTCACCATCTTCTATAAAAAAAATGGACATCATGAGTTTCCTTAGACTTTTTTGACTTATGTTATGTGTATATTTTTATGTCATAAGGTTATAAACTAGTCCACTGTGAATTTTAGCCTCTCCCAAGGAATGCCACAAAGCACAGGCCAAAAGATTATTTGGCTCTGGATGTATACCTATACCTTGACTTCCTGGTTGTCTTACCATATCGATACTCCATCTAATGATACACTTTGATTACCGTTTTAAGGAACTCGACAAAATTTTTTTTCTTGCATATTGGTTGTTGGTTCTTCAAGCTATATTCAAGTTCTACTGCGGATATCCTCAATACGTAGTCTATATCGCAGAAAAACTTCGAGCACACCCTTCTCCGTCGCTCGCTGAACGACCTTATGCTTTCTCACAAACATCACAGGCAACACGCACTGTTTGTATACTCGTGTTTTCAAGTTATTTTTTCAACCGACTTTAAAAATGAGAAGGTATTCAATTTGACTGTGTGTGTTTTTAAGTGTGTTACCTCATAAGTTTTTCTCGGTGAACGGATTTCGATGATTCTTTTTTTTATTTGAAAGCTGGTGCTTCTCATGTGGTCCCATATCAATTTGATCAAGGTCTGACTCGTAGTTTTTGAGTTAACCTTTATCATTTGTATTGAAGTCGGTTGTACAAATTTTTTAATTTTACCACTTGTACAAGACGAGAAAATGTGTCGTAATCTCTTAACCTCATGGTCGAATGTGGACTTAATTAGCAGGAGAATTTGTCATAAATAAACATACACAACTTAGACAACTACCGACAGTGTAACAGACATCATACATGACCTTTGCTTTGTCCATATTCATCTTAAGACTTATCCATTGGGAGATACTATTGTAATTGTAGCTGTTTGGAGAAAAATAGTCTACTTGTGAGGTTCTTGCCTAAGCTTGTTTAAATGATGGTGTAGCATACGTAACTTTCAAAGTTCTTTGTGAAAGCCAATAGTGAATAAAAATATTTTCACTTTGACCTAAACATAAATAATTTATGTGTCAAAGATGAGACAACTAGAAAGGGTTTAATAAAAAAAGATGTCATTTTGCGGGTAGAGTACATTTAAAATTTTAATTTCAAAGCACTACAATTGAATCAGTGTTTATTCAGTTATAAACTGAGTGCCTAACTCATATTATGGTAGTTTGATCACTTTTTAATCGAAATATTTAAATTAAGTCGACATTCACCTCGTATAAATATATATAATATAATAACCCTGTATTGTTCTATAGATGTCCAATCGAACAAAGTTTTCTTTTAAACAAACAGATGCAAACGCTTACCATGTGATAACAAAACATATACTTTTCTCGCAAATCCATCATAAACACTAAACTATAAACAGATTTCTTTTATAACTTTACGGCAGTGATTCATTGAAACAGTTTTAAAGAATTTTCGCTATAACATGGAATGTGACATTCCAACGACAAAACTTATCCTATCCATTTACATGTTCTACAGTTTCTTGACGAAAAAGCTATCTGTCAAAAGCTGGGATCAACTCATATACACATAATAATCAATAAAACGCTTTGGACGGCTTTGGAGTTTTTTTTTATTTCTAGGTAACTATGCAACAATCGTAAAGCACGATGTACTGTACAGATAATAAATAGTTTTATTTGATAATGTATTATAGTAAATCTATTGTCAGTTCAGTTTTTTATACTTAGTTTAAGTGAAGTTTGATAGTAGCGAATGATATTTTGAACTTTTGACAGAAAGCCGTAAGAGTTAATTTCGAGTGCACTTTGATTGGTCTCATTTTTTGGCCAGCTGCAAATACCTCGTGACTATGACGTGGAGTTCCAATGGCAATTTTGTGCGATCGTATTTGGTTGAATAAGAGTGGACAGCTTTACTGAGCTGCGTGTGTAGATCGAGGAGCGCCTCCAAGCCGATGCTGCGTAATGCCTTCGCGTTCTTATATAGAATGTTATCTAATTCAGTCTTATTTATCAGTACTTTATCAGCTTCTGAAAGGAAAACAGGCAAAAAATTTAAGAATTAAATTAAAAACTTACGTTGTAGATATATTTGTTAATTAACAATATACACATATATATATAATATATGTAATTGATTCCTGGAAATATGCTACTACGTTTTTTGGAATGAATTGTTGTTGTAAGCAATGAAAATAAACATAATTTTGGTCGAAGCTTCAACACACATAGAGCTGCCGAAATATTGGGGACATTATATTATTGCATTTAAAAAAAATCGAAAATTTAGTCAAAAGTTTTACAATTATGACCTATAGTTTGGGGTTGGTTAACTAAATTTGACTAAGCACATATTGTACATGAATTAAGCATGTATTAACAAGCAAATAAAGATAGGCAGGATATGTGAATGAGAACTATTTATATTATGAAGTTTTCACATTATTTATTATTGTACACAGTACACAGACTGGTGACTAACAAGCAGTTATAATAATAAGTTAATGGATACTGTGGCCCATGCACTTACATGTATCCTTGATTAAGAATTAAGGCAGATTTTGTTGTCACCTCTGAGGACGAAATATTAACTCTTTACAACAGTAGATTTTTTTATTAAAAAAGGAAATCCACTTTTAGGGCCAAGTATCCGATTATATATAACACTGAATCTGGTTTTTCTATATTTGAGCCCAGCAGCCTTAGGGCTTCCATTATTTTAAAGAACTATTTGAATAATTCACAAGCTTTTAACTTTTAAATGTTATATTTGGGAACCCGTATCAGATCCTAGCGATAGAATGGTTTTATCGAATATACATAAAAGATATTGTAAGTAGTATGATTTCAGTGTAAAGTATTACAAAATATATTCACCTGCATTTGAAGTTTCGTGTCCCGAATTACGTTTCTTTGGTGACGCCTTTGATGGTGTTTTTTCACCTGCTTTCGTCGGACTGTAAACCACATATAATGAAAATGTAGTAAATGCCTAAGCGTATGTGGTTAAAGCATTTCATAAATGGTAATTCCGGGAGGGATAGCCGTAAGGGACAGATGGCAAAAACATAAAAAATCAGTCACACTTCCTAAATTGCACTACTTTCTCGTTAATACACTCCGTACAGTGCATAAGGATCGACATTTCAGTCGAACTCCGGTGACAAAATAACAAAAAGTAAGTAAAATGTACCTATATTGATTTAAATGAAGCTTAAAGTTTTCAAAGGGTTTATTTACGTTACGCAGTTTTGGTAATAATGCATCAGACAAAATAAGTTTTTTAAGTTAAGTGTTCAATTTATGACCCAAACTTTAATATAACCGCAAAATGGCGCATGGGTTGTTTATATTTTTTTACAAATAATGTGTGGCCATCTATCCCGGGTGATTACGAGAGATGGCCATACATGGTCGGTATGAGATGGCCATATAGATGTATACTAATATTTAATATAGAAAAGTATGTTATTATAACTTGTAATATTTTGCATTATTGATGGTGAATAATACTAATTATGTTTTAGTAATAAATTACAGTATTTTTTTAGATGCCAAATGAAAACCAAGAAAAGCAGTCAGCTTACTAAGGAACTGGACTGAAAAATCATTTAAGGCAATTTTGGACGCTGTTTGAAGATAAAATGACTATACTCAGGTTTTATAACAAGTATAGAAAGAAGATACAAGTAAAATAATGACAAAAAAGGATTCATGGGACCATCATCTTAATCCATCCACCATCATATTCAGCGAAGAAAATGAGAAGAAACTAGCTAACTACATGAAAATTATGCAAAAAAATCATCAACAAAATTATTTGAATATAGTGATGAGTATGAACAACCAATATTATGTGATTCAGCTGATGAAAAAGGTGGCAACAGAGAAGTGGACAACTTTGTAGGCAGTGGAGAAAATTGTCATAAAACGAATCTCATCAAAAATGGGCTTCAATGTGTTTTATTTATTTTATTTTTATTTTATTTTTAAAAACTTTACCCCCACACTAGGATTTTCTCCTGTATCGTGGAGGCAGTTTACAAACACAAATTGCACAAGGACAAACATCCAGACACGGAACAATTATTTGTAGGCCATACAAATACTTGTTCCCTGCGGGATTCGAACCCGCGGCCCCCAGTGTAGCAACTCATTGCAAAGCCACTGCGCCACGGAGCCGTCTGTTTTATGCTAAATGTGGGTACATGAAAATTACACAGAGTTTGATGATAAGTGTTTATTATGTGGACAGAAAATAGGAATGAGCTAAGACTCAAAAAAGTAAAAGAAAAGAGTGGTTTCAATGCAGATGAATAAACTGGCAATCTCTCCTTTGCTACTTATGACCATCTCTACCGGGCACTACGGGAGAGATGTGCAATGAGACAAGAAAAAGGTAATTTATGACACTAATTATGTTAAAATTCAATATTTTTATGTGATATTCTAAGAGTTTAATGTCGAAAGTTTAATTAAAAGTGGTTTTTGTTAATTAATCTCCGTAGTTTTAATTTAACTGGTTTCTTAAAAAACTATGGCCAAAACCTCTGGACTTACACAAGTACAATTGAATACAAACAAAATTATTCTATTCACACCATTTGGGTGGTGAAAAACTGTACTATTTTCCAAAAGACTGACAACTTAGAACTTTCAAATATTTTTTCCCTCTGATAGCAGAAAACTAATTGTGCTTGCAACCTAAGTGAATTTTTGCGGAGCGTTTTTACTTTTTGCGCTAATAATAGTTACACACTAGATTTTTTTCCGTAATATGGATAAGTTTTATATAGATAAATTGCACATGGACAACCATCCAAAACTAGAAAATTCTATATACAAATAGTGTCGTATGATAGCGGCCTAAGAGAATCCATCACCCCATTTCGTCTCGTGGGTATCGTAAGCGAGTGACCACTTGGGACTTAATAGAAAGTCCTATCTCTCTCTCTCTCTCTTTCACTCTCTCTCTCTCTCTCTCTTTCACTCTCTCTCTCACTCTCTCTCTCTCTCTATTTTATATTTCAGTAGATAACGATAAAACCATATTGTACATTATACATCACCATCATCATTACAGCCCTTCCCAAGTCCACTGCTGAACATAGGCCTCCCCCAAGGAATGCCACAAAGCACGGTCCTTAGCCACCTGCCTCCATCGACTTCCTGCATGTCTTATCAGGTCGTCACTCGCATCTAGTGGAGGGACACCCTACACTTCACCTGCCGGTACTAGGCTGCCACTTGAGAAACTTTTTCCCTCATCGGATGTCGGTTCCTAGAGCTATATGGCCGGCCATTGCCACTTCAGCTTATTAATCCGTTGAGCTGTGTCGGTTACTCTGGTTCTATTGCGGATACCCCCATTTCTAAGTTTATCATTAAGAGAAACTCCGAGCATAGCCCTATCCGGCTCCGTGGCGCAGTGGCTTAGCAATCAGTTGATGCGCTGGGGGCCGCGGGTTCGAATCCCGCACGGAACAAGTATTTGTATGGCCTACAAATAATTGTTTCGGGTCTGGATGTTTGTCCTTGTGCAATTTAATGTTTGTAAACTGCCTCCACGACACAGGAGAAAATCCTAGTGTGGGGGTAACGTTTCTTTAAAAAAAAAAAAGAATAGCTCGCTGAGCGAACCTGAGCTTCCTCATACCGCCGACTACGTCTCAGGTCCATAGGCCATTACTGGGAACACGCATTGGTTAAACAATCTCGTTTTAAAGTTTTGAGGTATACCTGACGAAAAGATGTGTTTCGAATGCTGTCTTGTTGAGTTGAATCCGTCAAATTGGACTTGCCAAGTTGAACTATTTGTCTCAGGTAAAAAACATACTCGGCAATGACTTCGAGTTTAGTGTTTCCAACAACTACAGGCATAGGTGTAACATGGACGGTACACATGATCTATGTTTTGTGCATGTCATCTTAAGACCTATCTGTGGGAGGCACTATTGAGGTCATTGAGTATAGTGTTTAGGTCCTTCAGCGATTCTGTCATAAGGACTAAGTGGTGTACTTGTCATCTGATGTTAATACTATATCCTTTCTAATTCCACCTTGAAAACGTTTTCCAATGCAAAGGTGAAGAGTTCGGAAATGTAACGTCACCCTGATCTGCACTTCTCTGCAGTTGGATAGGTTTTGTACTCTGGTGGTGTACTCGGATAGCCATCAGTAGCCCTACTATATGAAATATGCTATTATAAAGCTGTATGAAATATGCTACTATAAACACTTCAGCACTTCGATATATTGACAGTCAACTTGGCACCGCCGAAAGGACTGTAGCATTAAAATCAAAGGATTTCTTAAAGTCCACATACGCAATACAAAGTGGTATATAGTGTAAGTAGTGGTAATATAGAGATAGATAGCACAACTTTCTTTGCTGCATAATGGTTGCTCTTATCAAATGAACTGATTCTCCCATGTAGTTTAACGAGGTGGTATAGAAGAAGATACAAATAGTTGTTCTGTGCAGGATTCAAAGCTGGCCAGTACAGTAGCGAGGTAGCGAGGTAGCGAGGTAGCGGGTACCTGTCGGGGGGGTGGGGCGCGTGGTGCGCGTGCGGCAGCAGGTCGGCGGGCGGGCGGCGCAGCGGCGCGTCGTCCTCGGAGCCCGACGACGTGGCCGACCCGTTGGGCAGCGGCGTCGACGTCACCGGCTTGTTCTCCTTCGACTCCTCGTCCGTTATCGCCAGCTGCGCCTCCTTGAAGCTCTGGGGACAATCTCACTCGTGTCAACTGAAACACTTTTTGTTAAATATACAAAATTTGACCTGCTCAAAGTTCAAAAACTTTACTAAACTAAGTTTGTATAAAAAGGGTTACTATAATATTAAGGAATTTATAGATGATAATAATCCCTGGAAATGAGGTAATCGTTACCAAACTATTACTAATTTGTTTTGTGATGTTAATTGTGTAACATACATGATTGTAAGCTGTTATTTTTTTTAAAGTCCCGCTGGGTTTCTAGCTGATTTCCCAAGACAGATGTTTGTTTCGAACAAGTGTTAATTAAACAAAAAAGTGACTTTCAATAAATATTATTTATAATTTATATTGAATAAAAAAGTTTCTGTTCTGTTTCTTTGACCTCTCAAAATGATTAGAATAAATAATATTAAATATGAACATTATTGTATTTCTTGAAAATAACAATCTAATTTAAATTAAACACGAAAAAAACTAAACAAGTTTTAAAACAATAACAAAAATTAGAAAACCATTTTTTTCCTATATGCTTGTATAACGCTTATGTGATAAAATCAAACTATACTATGAAAAACTATGCTCAATCACGCATGGAAAGAATCACTACGCAACCAAACCAAAAAGCCAACAATAAGAGTTTTTGAGAATTATTAATGTAAAGACCGCGCCCAAACGATTACATTCTCTGAGATTATATTATATATAATGATGATTAGATTATTTATTAGTGATTGTAACATTAGCAGGCTTAGCCAAGTTAACTTTGCTACTACTGTTAACGTAACTTTAACTTATATACGTGTTAGAGCCATGCTGCAGCTATATTAGTAGTATAGTTGTAGCACGAATAGGTCGGCTCGACAGGGGTAGGACCACGCTCTCACAGAATACCAGGGTAAAATAGCAGCTTAATGCTGCTGTGTTTCGTATGGGGAGTGTAAAGAACCGGTGACCCTTTTAACTGGAAACGAGGCATTCCATCTTAGTCCTCACGGGTGACAACGCATCTGCATTTTGATTCGCAAACGAGAATAAATGTAGATGTCTATGGGCCACAGCAACCACTTACTATCAGGTGGACTGTGTGCTCGTTTGTCACCCTATCCTATAAAAAAAAAACTACAAATTAAAGTTCTAGTACCTTCGTCTTCTGCCGTTTCACAACCAATCCCTTGGACCAAGGATTTATTCTTCTACGCTTTCGCTTCGCTGATTGAGATTCACTTTTCTCCCCGTTCTGCGGCGTCCGCATAGTTTTGCTATCGTTCGCAGTTGAATCGAAACCCTCGGCTATAAGTGAAGAAAGTTAACCATATTAATATTCAATATAGTTAAGTTCAAGGTAGTACGATCAAATGTTGTGTAGAAACAGTAGAAACAGTGCATCCTCTGACGTGCTTCGGTTTTAAGAGTAAGAGACCCTATAATCTCAGCCTCCGTTAATCTTAGTCTTTGGAGGTAACAATGCATCTGTGGCTACAAGCTTCTTTCTTTGAAGCGGTGTCCATGGACCACTTACTATCAGATGAACTGTGAGATCGTTTATCACTCTAATATTAAAAAAATAACTATAAAACCAAAAATTTTGAAGATCCTTTAATTACTGAAAAGTTGAAAATGACCAAGCATTTTAATTTTAAGGGGATTTTCTTCTGTTACATATACTACTGTTAACGCTTGTTCAAACACACATTTTTATGCAGAAAGAACATAACTGAACCATAATAAAAATATTTCACAAAAAGAAATACACATTGTGGTTTGCATAATAATCACAATTTCTAAAATGGTTATTATACATAACATATTTTAATATTTAACGCAGCTGTTGTGATCCTTAGCACTACAATGTGTAATCATCGATAGTTTAATTTGTCAAAACACAAACCAATGCATTCACGGGTATTAAATGTACATGTAAATCGTCTGAGCGAGCAAAGATGTTGTGGAGAGGAGATGGACTGATAGACCACCCCCTTTTTTGTCAGACCACACTCTCTCTCTCCCAGCCCGGCAGTTTTCTCTATTTCTTTCGATCTCTCTTTTTCTTTTGCAAGGTTTTAAAACACTTACGTAAATTAGAAGCGGTGTAAATGAAATCGGGCAGATCTTCCTCCATGGCGCCCTCTTCGCGGCGTTTCTTAGCGATCTCCTGGCACTCGAGCTCGAAGTCGCTGTCCATCTCAACGTCGATGAGCGCATGTGCGTGATCCCGCAACGAACACGCTTCGTGACGAATTTGCTTGTCTGAAGACGTCCTGTTTGGTAAAAAATAATAAAGATAGCTAAAAGTACGCGTTAAATACTTCTGTTTTTTGATGCATCTAATTTCAATCTACAGAGTAGTTTTAAAAATCGACACTTATTAATTATTTATATGGGGCAATTCAGTGGATATAGGTGGGGGTGTTTAAAGCACAAAAAAAAAAATATTAGAGCTATGTGTGCGCTGACTATTTAGATCATTGTAAGCCATTATTTCAAAAATTTAATACTTCCGCTGCCCTGTCTCTATATTTTTGAAATTTGTTTGTTAAGAGATATTCCTATCTATTTCCAATAAATGAACGTGTTTCGAAAAGGATCCAAGACAGAAACCCAAACGAATTAGTGGCAACATCCCAAAGACTTCATTTGTATTTGATTGTTATTGCCATGCAATGGCAATAATAATCAAATACAAATTAAATTAAATTAATTACTTTAAATTATATTAATTAAAATTTTTAATAAGCTGCCACCGGTCACACATCCTGCCTATAAATAAATTTAAACATGGAATATTTTCTTGGTTTTTGGATGTGTGTTTCTACTCTGTTAATGATTTCATAGATTATAAATTTATAAGTAATACATAAATAAATGCTCCTAATATTGTATTAATAAATAAAAATAGATATATATTATTTTTTACAATTAATAATTCCTATAAATGTTGTAAATGTATAAATTTGTCTAAATAAGTATCATAAAATGTTATACATTAGTCTAATTGTACACCGGCTACGGTATATGTATATATGTGAACCATTCTATAATTTCAACATCTGTAATTACCATATACTAACAAAATAAACGATATTCTATTCTATTCTATTAATATATATACCTACACATCCATGTAAGAAACGATCTGACAGTCCACTAGATGGTAAGTGGCAACTGATAACTGTGGACACCTGTAATCAACTACAAGCAGGTGCACAGGTGCGTCACTTCTGGGATCACAAGGTTTAAGAATTGAGATTCAAACACTAGTCAGTTTGATGTATAAAAACTACAGATTCGATTTCAATGAGAACTCATCAGTGTTAATTATGCAATTACGCTTCGGAATTGACTTAGAATCTATATAATCATTTTTCCTCGAAATATGCGAAGAAAAAAATTATATGAGGTGTCATGGGACACCCGATAGAATCGAAGCTTCTTACGCTTAAAATTCAATGTAAAAATTAATAATAATATGTCGGAGAAAGTTTCGTCGTATTTTGTTGGTATAAAATTGAAGAAAAATCTCTTTGGTTGTACTGTTTGCATCTGGTTGGTTTTAACTTAAATACACATAAGGCTTTAAGAAAAAGAAATATAAAAAGTAAAAAACACTTTCCCGTTATTTTTCAATAGTTTTTCTGTCCGCCAAAATGATTGAATTTAACGAAGAAATTGGATACATTCAGGTTTTATTACAAAAAAGAGAAAATGCAGCAACTCAAACTGCGAAAAAAAATTTGTGACTTTATGGACCTAACGCAGTGTAGGTAAGAGTAGCACAAAGTTGGGTCAAACGTTTTCTCGGTCGAATTATGATGTCAAAGATGCAGCTCGCTCTGGTCGCCCTCATACAAATAAAGTCGATGCCATTTTTGAAAAAAGTGGAGCAAAATCAGCATATTAGTAGTTACGACATATCGGAGGAATTGAGGATTGATCACAAAACAGTTTTGACCCCTTTTAAAAAGTCTGGCTATACAATACAAAAACCTTGATATTTGGGTATCACACGAGCTCACTTAAAGAAACTTAATGAAACGCGTACTCATTCGCGATTCTCTATTGAAAAGTAATGAAACCGAACCATTTTTGAACCTACGACAAAAACGTGCGAAAAAGATCACGGTCAAAGGGTAGTCAATGTCCACAGACTGTAGCGAAACCCGGATTAAAACGCAATAAAATGGTGGGATTGAAATGGCATCGTTTATTATGAGCTTTCACGGCCGGGCAAAACCATCGATTCGGATCTCTACTGCAAACTACTAATGAGACTCAAGCAAGAAATTGAGAAAAAACGGCCGGTATTGATCAACAGAAAAGGAGTGACCTTCCATCATGATATTTTTTTTTTATAGGAGAGGGGGCAAACGAGCATGCGGCTCACCTGATGGTAAGTGACTACCGCCGCCCATGAACAACCGCAACACCAGGGGAATTGCAGATGCGTTGCCGGCCTTTTAAAAAGGAGTAGGCTCTTTTCTTGAAGGTCCCTAAGTCGTATCGGTCCGGAAAAATCGCTGGTGGTAAACAATTCCACAAGGAAGTTGTGCGAGGAAGAAAACATCTTCTAAATCGCACAGTGGTGGACCGCCAATCATCCAGATGGTGTGGATGGTATCGGGAGTTCTGCCGCGATGTGCGTTCGTGAAATTTGGTGGCTGGGATTAATCCGAACAATTCCTCAGAGCACTCCCCATGGTAAATGCGAAAGAAAATGCTAAGAGATGCAACATCTCTTCGCAGTGCCAATGAGTCGAGCCGATCGGAAAGGACTCGGTCGTCGACGATTCGAGCCGCTCTGCGCTGGATGCGGTTAAGTGGAAGAAGCTGGCACTGGGGAGCCCCAGCCCAGAGATGGGAACAGTATTCCATGTGAGGCCGAACCTGCGCCTTGTAAAGTTGCAGGCGTTGAGCCGGCATGAAATACTGTCCCGCTCTGCTGAGCACGCCAAGCTTTTTAGAGGCCAATTTGGCCTTCTCTTCCAAGTGACCACGAAACTGCACGCTACTCGATATGTCGACGCCGAGGATTCCGATACTGGCTGAGGCAACAAGGGGAGTACCTTGAAACTGAGGAGATACGACAAAGGGGTAACGCCAAATTTCACGAATAACGCCATAACGATAACGCCAGATAAATGATAACGCCAGAGCATACACATCTTTGGCCACTCAGCAAAAATTGAGAGGTTGGGAAGTGTTAATGCATCCACCATATAGTCCTGACCTTGCACCCTCAGATTTTCACCTGTTTCGGTCTCTTCAGAATTCTTTGGGTAGTGTTAGGTTCAACACCATCAAGAGAGGACTTTCAAAACCACGGAGCATAATACAAAGAGGACATGGCATAAGCAACTGTGAACTGTGATTGTAACTAGGTCCTGACGTCATCACAGTGGGCGTGGCTTTACTTAATATACTGTCGGCGTTCGCCCTGTGCGCTTATGTGTCGAAAATCGCAAATCGGTGTATTTTCTTAGTATTAAGAAGAGAAGGATCAAGTGTTGGTTTCTATCGTGTAAAAACTAATCAGAGACGCTCTGATGCTATGGATGGCATCACATTTCATTTGTATGTAATTTTATACCTAATTTATTAAAAAGGTTCTAGAAAAATCTCTGCTTCGGCTTTCAAATGTAATTAAATATATTCGACACTAGTTGGCGACACTTTGTGTCATAGGAACTAAAATTATAAAGGTACGTAGAGCTCAATATATATATACGCTGCAAATTGTCACGCGTTGTTACATAGTGAAATCTAATTACAACACCTCCTCTTTGTATTTGCTCCGTGGTCAAAACTACCTACTTGTCGCAATATTTTGATCTAAAATCCCAAGAGTTCTACAGCAACGGGATTATGTCACTACCTACAAGATGTGTGAAAATGGCACACATATAATTAAATGTAACTAAACTTTGAAATCGGGAAAAATCGGGAGTGTGTCGACGAGGGTTGCGTACCTTATACTCAGAATCACCAAACGGTATTCGCTGAAGGTCATACAGGTTTACGCACCAACCTCGGCACACCCCGATGAGGAGGTGGAGGAAATGTATGAGGATATCTCTAGAGCCATGCATTCCTCCAAAACCCAATATACGGTGTTAATGGGAGACTTCAATGCAAAACTAGGCACAAGAGAGAACGGTGAGCTGAAGGTAGGGAAATTTGGAATAGGGCAACGGAACCCAAGGGGCCAGCAGCTGGCCGACTTCATGGAGAAAGAGGGACTCTTTATGATGAACTCTTTCTTCCAGAAGCGGCCCCACAGGAAGTGGACCTGGTCGAGCCCCGACGGTTCCACAAAAAAATGAGATTGACTTCATTATGACGACCAGACGACAACTGTTCAGTGATGTCTCCGTGATCGCGAGGGTGAAAACTGGTAGCGATCACCGAATGGTTAGAGGCACACTGAACCTAAACGTTAAGTTGGAGAGGTCTCGTCTAATGAAGTCAACGCTCCGTCCCCCTCGTGCTCTGTTTCAAAGTCCCGAAACCTTTCAGCTCGAGTTACAAAACCGTTTTCAGTGCCTAGAAGACTGCAATGAAGTGGACGATATGAATGACAAGCTCGTGGAAACTGTCCATGCGGTTGGAGCTAAGTTCTGCAAGACCCGCCGCAGAAGAACACAAAAACTCTCCGATCACACTCTTAATCTCATGGCTGTTAGACGGGAGATGAAGCTACATTCTTCAACAGACTTGACAGCATACAGGCATCTGAACAGACAGATCTCCAAATGCATGCGGCGGGACTTACGCAACTTCAATACAGCTCGTATTGAAGAAGCTATCGAGCGGAACCAAGGCTCCAAAGTCTTTGCCAGAGATCTGTCTGCCAGAAAGAGCCAACTGTCAAAGCTGAAGACAGAATGTGGCAGCATCGTTTCCGGGACACCTGAGATTTTGAGTGAGATTGAGAGGTTCTATGGGCAGCTGTACACATCATCGTTGGAGCCACACGCAAGTGTGAGTAACGATCCAAGAGCGAGTCTCATCCGACACTATTCCGAAGATATCCCGGATGTCAGTCTGAGCGAGATAGGATGGCTCTCCAGCACCTTAAAAACGGTAAGGCCCCAGGCGAGGATGGAATTACAGCGGAGCTTCTGAAAGCGGGTGGAAGACCGGTACTTGAAGTCCTTCAGAAGCTCTTTAATTCCGTCCTCCATGGTGGCATTACACCGGAGGCGTGGAGCAGAAGTGCGGTGGTCTTGTTCTTCAAGAAAGGTGACAACGCTCTCTTGAAGAACTACAGACCGATTTCCCTTCTGAGCCGCGTCTACGTGCTGTTTTCGAGAGTCATTACGAATCATCTCGCGCGCAGACTTGACGACTTCCAGCCTCCCGAACAAGCCGGTTTCCGAAAGGGCTTTAGCACCATAGACCACATACATACCCTTCGGCAAGTTGTACAGAAGTCCGAAGAGTACAATTTGCCACTATGTCTGGCGTATGTGGACTATGAGAAAGCCTTTGATTCCGTCGAAATTTGGGCGGTGCTGCAGTCCCTTCAGCGGTGCCAAGTTGACTGTCGGTATATCGAAGTGTTGAAGTGCTTGTACAGTAGGGCTACGATGGCTATCCGAGTACAGAACCAGAGTACGAAACCTATCCAATTGCAGAGAGGTGTAAGACAGGGTGACGTCATATCCCCGAAACTCTTCACCGCTGCATTGGAAGACGTTTTCAAGCTTCTGGACTGGAAAGGATACGGTATCAACATCAATGGCGAGTACATCACTCACCTTCGATTTGCCGACGATATAGTCCTTATGGCAGAATCGCTGGAGGACCTAAGCACTATGCTCAATGACCTCAATAGTGTTTCCCAACGGATAGGTCTTAAGATGAACATGGACAAAACTAAGATCATGTTTAATGTCCATGTCACACCTATGCCGCTAGTTGTTGGGAACACTAAGCTCGAAGTTGTTGACGAGTATGTTTACCTGGGACAAATAGTCCGACTGGGTAAGTCCAACTTCGACCGAGAGGTCAATCGACGGATTCAACTCGGCTGGGCAGCGTTCGGGAAGCTACGACACATCTCGTCAGACATACCTCAAAACCTTAAAACGAAATTGTACAACCAGTGCGTGTTGCCAGTGATGACTTACGGAACTGAGACGTGGTCCTTCACTGCTGGCCGTATGAGGAAGCTCAAGGTCGCTCAGCGAGCTATGGAGAGGGCTATGCTCGGAGTTTCTCTGCGTGATAAACTTAGGAATGAGGATATCCGCAGTAGAACCAGAGTGACCGACATAGCCCAACGGATTAGTAAGCTGAAGTGGCAGTGGGCCGGCCATATAGCTCGAAGAACCGACAACCGATGGGGAAGAAAGGTTCTCGAGTGGCAGCCTCGTACCGGTAGGCGAAGTGTAGGGCGTCCCCCCACGAGATGGAGTGACGACCTGGTAAGACATGCAGGAAGTCGATGGATGCAGGTGGCTCAGGACCGTGTTTTGTGGCATTCTTTGGGGGAGGCCTATGTTCAGCAGTGGACTTGTGAAGGGCTGTAATGATGATGAATGATGAAACTTTGAAAAAAAATTTCTTGAATTTGTATATAAAATACGAAGAAACTTTTTCCCCGAACTTTTATAATTTATAGTTTATAGTATGTACACTATCAATTACATTATTATTTATTTTAATGACATACAGATTTTAATGGATACACACATAAAACAAAAAGTTAAGTATACATACACATTAAAATATTGTGGAAGTGCCTGTCCCAGTTCCTTTCTCTTGTGCTCTGGCTCATTTACATACTTGGGCAACATATGGAGTGATGCAACTTTTTTATAAAACTGAAGCGACAAACGAATCTACCAATCCACCTGACGATAAGTGGCTGTTGCAGCCCATAGACATTGTCATCTCTAAGGACTAAGATGGAATGCTTTACAGTCTGTAGTTATACTGGCTCTATAAACTTTTCAGGCCAGAACACAACAGTGTAGCACTGCCATGTGGCAGCAGAAATATGTCATGTCGTAAAATAGCAGCTCAATGCTGCTGTGTGGTGAGTGTAGAGAACCGGATACCCTTTTTACTGGAAACAAGGCATTCTTAGTCCTTATGGGTGACAACGCATATTGATTCTTAATCGAGAATAAATGTAGATGTCTATGGGCCACAGCATCCACTTACCATCAGGTGGACTGTGTGCTCGTTAGTCACTCTTATCCTATAAAAAAGGATGGTACCTAAACTTCTAGGCAGAAAATGAGTCCTACTCCCTAGTAGTACTTTCGTTCGATTTTTTCTGAGTTACATCCATCTCGAATGGAGCCTACCATCTAGTTTATTTATTATTAAGAGTGTAGAAATATTGTACATCATACGTCAATGTATTCACAGGAACTACAAATCCCCTCCGTGAACTGTAACCATATCTATGAACAGAAATTAATATATTGAATACCTGCAGTTAAATTTCTTTATTTCTAAGACAAACTAATAAAAGCTTGCGCTTGCATTTCAGAAAAAAATAAAACTAAGCCGTTTCTTCCTATTAAAACAAACTTTTAATATATAGAAATAAATAAATAAAAATTATAATTTACGCTAAATATAAATTACATAAGCTACTTAAAAATACCAAAAGAACTCTTACTGAGTATACGTCGTCTAAACCAAGCAAATTTTGGTCATAATCATGCAAAGATGCAAAGAAACAAGTTACATTCAAAATGAATCAATTTGAAAACATGCAAGTCACAATAAGACGTCCAAATTATAAATGGACAAAAGGTTAGAGGATGTAAATTAAGTACATAAAAATAATTAACTTTCAACTGTTTACATTACAAAATAGCTTAATGCGTAAATACTTTATGCAAACCCATTACATAGGAGCAAATTTCTCATACCTATACATCCCTCTAGCCCTTTGAATGGCACCGGGAAATGTGGAAAGAAAAGACAGAGTTAAACAAAATATTAGTACACAAAATGGTAAAATGTTAGCTTAAATCTCAAAATGTATTAAGAAATAGGTTAAAAACTAATAAATGGTTTTTACAGTGCCAGTTAAAACAATAAAGAGTGGGGCTGCCAGCTTCCTGAGATTCAAAATTAGGAAAAATTAAAAAGAAGTATAAGGCTTTATTTTTGTTTGTTAATTTTACAAATGTCTCGGTTCTAGAAAACCCGCTTCTTTCAAAATTGTTGTATTTTTTTGTTTTCAATTCTAAATTATTGCGCTAATATAAGAAAACTTTGTACCAGTAGTTGTTGCTTACCGTTACCGCCTCATAGTGGTTTCATACCTCCTCATATTTGCCATAGTTGCTACGCTTAGCAGGCAGTTTAGCAATTGCAGTTTTTTATTTTTAGTTGTAATTAGAAAGACGCTAATGCCCATCTTCAGATGATTTGTTTCCCTCTGTCGCCTCTTACGGCACGACAAGGGATATTATTACAGTCTTTGCACGGAGCTCAATATAATTTGTGACTTTTCGATAATATCCTTAATCTATTTTTTTTTCACATGTACAGTTTTGTTTTTAATTTTTTTTAACTTCCGGAGAACTGTATTACACAGGTTGGCAGTTCTAGCATGTGATGAAAAAACAAATAAATTCATGTTATGAATATAACCTGTTTGCATGTACAGTGTACTGCTGCCTGCATCGCACTGCGTTCATAATACTAGTATTATCTTTTACTTTCGAATAAGATATCTAATCTGCTGAAACCTCATCTCCGACATAGATAATGAAGACATAAAAAATTTAATATAAATCGGAATTTTTTCATTAATTTATTACAAGTCACAGAAGTTCATTGCCACATAGAGTTGAGAGTTGCAGTGCTTGGCTGGCAGATTTGCAAACGCAGTTCTTTATTATTTTGAGTTGTGAAGAAAATGTTGCTGTCCATCTCGTATTTCGTTTCCTTCTATCGCCTTTTACCCACGCGGTGATAACGAGGCCTCACAAAATATTATGGTAAGTTTATTATTTATATTATATTTTTCTGTTGGGATATATAATTGTAGGCACATGAAAGATGAAGTATAATGTGAAGAAAATAGACATTTTGATGTTTTAAAAATAGCTATAGTAGCTATTTTAAAAGAGCAATAAATTATATTTAATAGCTCTAAAATAAGTAACTTGGTCATCGTTAGTCAATAAAACGACAAGTTTTCTGCGTATCTGAATACATACCTATTGCTTCCTAAAACTTTAATGCGTCGATTGACGACTGTTGAAGCTTATACAACATAATATAATTTTTTATCGTAATACTAATAATTAATTAAAAGTTCGTAGTATATTATTATTGATATACGTATTATATTATTGAGTAACAAATACAAATAAATGAATTACTGGCATCAATTAAAATGAAGGGTCATTTAAAATAATATTCCTTTCATGGCAAGATAAGAAAAAGTGCGAAGGAGATGGATATTATTCCATCTCGCTCGCACTATAGAAAGTCGGTCGTGACGGAAAAATCTTACACTTTTTAGACTGTATCTATATAATAAACTGTTATATATAATATATAATAAAATACCTGATAATATATAATAAAATGTTAGCTAACCAATGCTAGAGTTTTTTATGTGTATTTATATGCAAAACTATACCCGTACTAACGCGAATTCGACTTCAAGATTATCGTTCGGTCGATATAGGTATTAGTTTGGTTCGAAGTATTAGTGTATAAACCACGGTCGCGGAGCAGGATTTTTTTATTACTTTGCATATTTGAACTTAATTCCCATCATAAAGTTTTATTTCTATTGCAACTAAGATAGTTTTAGGACCTTTTGAACAGTAATTATCATTCGAAAACAGAGTTTATTCTCAAGTAATTAAAGTTCACATTTGTATGAATTGCAATAATTTGAAATTCTTCCTGCTCCGCGATCACGCGATAGTAACAAATATTGAAGTATATGTAGAGAAAAATCTCTAAAATGAAAATTTTTTAGTTCTTTCATCATATTATTGATAATATTTTTAAACGATTTCGATAATGGCGGTATTTTCCGATTTAACAACTAATCGGAACAGAGTGCCACAGGTCTACGTGCAAACGATGCCACTTGCTCGGCCTAGGCTATCTTGAGTAGGTAGAGCTCATAAAGAAACAATTATAAAATAATATAGTTCTTGTCATTATATAAGACACAGCCTTACCTATCTGGATTGTATTCGAGTGCGTTAGCGCATATGAGATCAATGTCATCGAGGAACTCCTTCGCGCAGTTGTACTTGTGCATGTCGACCTTTGTCATCATCGTCTCCAGGTCCATCGGTTGCTTAATTATATCTAAATAGTCTGTCACCTAGAGAGCAATAAAGGAAATTATTTGATTAATGGTTTCTAAAAAGAAAAGTTACAGCCTACATATCCTTGCATATATTTTATAATATTAATTGAAAATAGTTTTAAACTGCACAAACATTTTCAAATGATATCTATTGCATGGCATTTCATACCCTATGGGTGGAACTACGTTCGTCATCTTATTAGCACTGAAAAGATGCCAAAAAACTTTCCTTCGAGACTGGGTGCTCTGAAAATTGTCATTCAGTTGTATAAGCTTCATCAATGTCGATTATCACCTTTTAAAAATTGCACAGAAAGGAATAAGATGAAATGCCTCACAACCCGAAATTATTCCTGGCTTGGTTACCTTGGTGTATTGTTGCATGGCGGCAGAAATTAGTGAGAAAATTGTTTCAAGCCAGCGAACTCTAAGCAGAAAAGGAGCCCAATCACTTAGTATTCAGATCTACCAAGAGATCATAAACAGGGAAGCAGTTAAAGAACTATAGAGCAGCTGTTTACTCCATCAAGGTCAACCCCATTACGTAGTATTTAAATCTACCAGGAGCCAATACACATTGAAGCAAAAAAAGAACTGTAGAATAGTTGTTTACATCCTCAAGGTCAACCCTGTTACCAAGTATTTAGATCTACCAGGAAATCATACATAGGGAAAGAGTAAAAGTACTATCAAGTAATTGTTTACCACCTCGATCGACCCCGTCAAAGATGTACCAGGAGATCATAAACAGCGAAACATTACAAGAACAATTATCAAGCAAATGTTTACCTCCTCGAGATCAACAGGCTTGGTGAATTTATAGAAGCGCCTATTGGAGGCGAGCTTCCGACAGATGTCACGTAGAAATATGCGCAGCTCGCGCAACTTGTAATCCTCCTTGCGCTTGCGTCGTGCGATCTCTTCCTTACTCTCGCGTGGTGGGGGAGGCGGTGGCGCTGTGGAAATTAATTGAAATGACTATCCGTTGCAAAAATTTGAAAATGTTTGACAATTTAGGACTTTTTACCATTCCACTGACGTACAAATCTGTCGTTATCATCAGCATGCTAATGCTATTATTGTAATTTAAACGACTGGTTATATCTATGTATACATACATACATACATACATATATATATATATATATATATATATATATATATATATATATATATATATATATATATCGCCTCTATATAGCCTCATAAATATACTTATGTATACATTTAGGGATATACATTATACACAGATACCATAGATATACTAGAATACCAGCATAAATAGCAGCTTAATGTTACTACGAGTATGTTTCGTATTTTGAGTGTAGAGAACTGGAGAGCCTTTTTACTGGAAACGAGGCATTCCATCGTAGTCCTCAGCGGTGACAATGAATCTGCATTTTGACTCTTAATCGAAGATAAATGTAGATAATGTCTATGGGCCACAACATCCAATTACCATCAGGTAGACTGTGTGCTCGTTTCTCAAACCCATCCTATAAAAAAAATATGAGTACTATGTCTCGATATACGTCTTTGGAAATAGTTATTAAGTGATAAATTTTAGCTATTTGACTTGTTTTTCAAAATATGAAGATTCGACTCGCGTAACAGCGTCCCCCCATTCTTACGAGGGTTACACTGAAAGTTCTTAGAAAATCAAAAACTGAACAAACTAGCAAGTTATTAGTTTTATTATATCTTTTCAAAATAGTGTCCATTTACATCAATACATCGCTGCATCCGATGGAACCACTGAGAAAAGCACTTTGCCCACTCGTCCTTAGGGGTATGTTCGACTGCATTTTGAAACGCAGCCACTGCTTCCTCGGCGTCCATAAAACGTTTTCGTCGAAGTTTTTCCATTATTTTCGGAAATAAATAAAAAGGTCGGGCCTATAGGGCGGGTGACCCAGTAATTCCACATCTGACGTCGCCAAGTAGTCGATTGTTTGCTTGGCGGTGTGCGATGAGGCGTTGTCGTGGTGAAGGAGTATCCCACTGCGAGGTTATTTCTCCCGAATTTTTTCCAAGACAAGTGGCAAACAATTGTTAGTGTACCACACTGCAGTAACTGTTTTTCGATCCTCTAAAACAATTGTGGCGTAATGACCTGTCCTACCTCCTGTCCTACAACGCACGCACCCTGAGGACTGACGAGAAGATTGTGGTGCTGGAAGAAGAGATAGACAAGTTACGCTGGCATATTATAGGATTATCCGAAGTCCGAAGAGAGGGGGAGGACACGGTAATCCTCGAATCCGGCAACTTGCTCTATTACCGGGAGGGCGACCATCTGTCCCAAGGAGGTGTCGGATTTATCGTCCACAAGTCTCTCGTTAACAACGTTGTAAAGATTGAGTGTGTCGACGAGGGTTGCGTACCTTATACTCAGAATCACCAAACGGTATTCGCTGAAGGTCATACAGGTTTACGCACCAACCTCGGCACACCCCGATCAGGAGGTGGAGGAAATGTATGAGGATATCTCTAGAGCCATGCATTCCTCCAAAACCCAATATACGGTGTTAATGGGAGACTTCAATGCAAAACTAGGCACAAGAGAGAACGGTGAGCTGAAAGTAGGGAAATTTGGAATAGGGCAACGGAACCCAAGGGGCCAGCAGTTGGCTGACTTCATGGAGAAAGAGGGACTCTTTATGATGAACTCTTTCTTCCAGAAGCGGCCCCACAGGAAGTGGACCTGGTCGAGCCCCGACGGTTCGACAAAAAATGAGAGTGACTTCATTATGACGACCAGACGACAACTGTTCAGTGATGTCTCAGTGATCGCGAGGGTGAAAACCGGCAGCGATCACCGAATGGTTAGAGGCACACTGAACCTAAACGTTAAGTTGGAGAGGTCTCGTCTAATGAAGTCAACGCTCCGTCCCCCTCGTGCTCTAATCCAAAGTCCCGAAACCTTTCAGCTCGAGTTACAAAACCGTTTTCAGTGCCTAGAAGACTGCAATGAAGTGGACGATTTGAATGACAAGCTCGTGGAAACTGTCCATGCGGTCGGAGCTAAGTTCTGCAAGACCCGCCGCAGAAGAACACAAAAACTCTCCCATCACACTCTTAATCTCATGGCTGTTAGACGGGAGATGAAGCTACATTCTTCAACAGATTTGACAGCATACAGGCAACTGAACAGACAGATCTCCAAATGCATGCGGCGGGACTTACGCAACTTCAATACAGCTCGTATTGAAGAAGCGATCGAGCGGAACCAAGGCTCCAAAGTCTTTGCTAGAGATCCGTCTGCCAGAAAGCGCCAACTGTCAAAGCTGAAGACAGAATGTGGCAGCATCGTTTCCGGGGCACCTGAGATTTTGAGTGAGATTGAGAGGTTCTATGGGCAGCTGTACACGTCATCGTTGGAGCCGCACGCAAGTGTGAGTAACGATCCAAGAGCGAGTCTTTTTTTTTTTTTTTTATAGGAGAGGGGGCAAACGAGCATGCGGCTCACCTGATGGTAAGTGACTACCGCTGCCCATGAACAACCGCAACACCAGGGGAATTGCAGATGCGTTGCCGGCCTTTTAAAAAGGAGTAGGCTCTTTTCTTGAAGGTCCCTAAGTCGTATCGGTCCGGAAAAATCCCTGGTGGTAAACTATTCCACAAGGAAGTTGTGCGAGGAAGAAAACATCTTCTAAATCGCACAGTGGTGGACCGCCAATCATCCAGATGGTGTGGATGGTATCGGGAGTTCTGCCGCGATGTGCGTTCGTGAAATTTGGCGGCTGGGATTAATCCGAACAATTCCTCAGAGCACTCCCCATGGTAGATGCGAAAGAAAATGCGAAGAGATGCAACATCTCTTCGCAGTGCCAATGAATCGAGCCGATCGGAAAGGGCTCGGTCGTCGACGATTCGAGCCGCTCTGCGCTGGATGCGGTCAAGTGGAAGGAGCTGGCACTGGGGAGCCCCTGCCCAGAGATGGGAACAGTATTCCATGTGAGGCCGAACCTGCGCCTTGTAAAGTTGCAGGCGGTGTGCCGGCATGAAATACTGTCCCGCTCTGCTGAGCACGCCAAGCTTTTTAGAGGCCAATTTGGCCTTCTCTTCCAAGTGACCACGAAACTGCACGTCACTCGATATGTCGACTCCGAGGATACCGATACTGGCTGAGGCAAGAAGGGGAGTGCCTTGAAACTGAGGAGATACGACAAAGGGGTTCTTTTTAGCGGTAAACGCGCAAACTTGTGTCTTCTGAGGATTAAACTGGACTAGATTTAGTCGCCCCCAATCCGAGACTTTGTCCAGCAAAGACTCGACTTCAGACACAAGTTTGTTCCGGTACTCGGCGACGTTTTCCCGAGAAATATTGGCCCGGCCGGTGTATAGAGCATCACCAGTGCTGTCATCCGCATAGCAATGAATGTTACCAGTTAGCAACATATCATTGATATGCAGAAGAAACAGCGTTGGTGATAGCACACAGCCTTGTGGAACACCAGCGTTAATAGGCTTGTAGTCAGAACATGCACCGTCTACAACGACCTTGATGCTCCGATCTGCAAGAAAGCTGGTGATCCAATTGCACAATTTCTCGGGAAGCCCATAGGAAGGCAGCTTTGAAAGAAGCGCTTTGTGCCAAACCCGATCAAAGGCCATTATTCCGATGATATCCCGGACGTCAGTCTGAGCGAGATTAGAATGGCTCTCCAGCACCTTAAAAACGGCAAGGCCCCAGGCGAGGATGGAATTACAGCGGAGCTTCTGAAAGCGGGTGGAAAACCGGTACTTGAAGTCCTTCAGAAGCTCTTTAATTCCGTCCTTCATGGTGGCATTACACCGGAGGCGTGGAGCAGAAGTGCGGTGGTCTTGTTCTTCAAGAAAGGCGACAACGCTCTCTTGAAGAACTACAGACCGATTTCCCTTCTGAGCCGCGTCTACGTGCTGTTTTCGAGAGTCATTACGAATCGTCTCGCGCGCAGACTTGACGACTTCCAGCCTCCCGAACAAGCCGGTTTCCGAAAAGGCTTTAGCACCATAGACCGCATACATACCCTTCGGCAAATTGTACAGAAGTCCGAGGAGTACAATTTGCCACTAGGTCTGGCGTATGTGGACTATGAGAAAGCCTTTGATTCCGTCGAAATTTGGGCGGTGCTGCAGTCCCTTCAGCGATGCCAAGTTGACTGTCGGTATATCGAAGTGTTGAAGTGCTTGTACAGTAGGGCTACGATGGCTATCCGAGTACAGAACCAGAGTACGAAACCTATCCAATTGCAGAGAGGTGTAAGACAGGGTGACGTCATATCCCCGAAACTCTTTACCGCTGCATTGGAAGATGTTTTCAAGCTTCTGGACTGGAAAGGATACGGTATCAACATCAATGGCGAGTACATCACTCACCTTCGATTTGCCGACGATATAGTCCTTATGGCAGAATCGCTGGAGGACCTAAGCACTATGCTCAATGACCTCAATAGTGTTTCCCAATGGATAGGTCTTAAGATGAACATGGACAAAACAAAGATCATGTTTAATGTCCATGTCACACCTATGCCGGTAGTTGTTGGGAACACTAAGCTCGAAGTTGTTGACGAGTATGTTTACCTGGGACAAATAGTCCGACTAGGTAAGTCCAACTTCGACCGAGAGGTCAATCGACGGATTCAACTCGGTTGGGCAGCGTTCGGGAAATTACGGCACATCTTCTCGTCAGGTATACCTCAAAACTTGAAAACGAGACTGTACACCCAGTGCGTGTTGCCAGTGATGACATACGGAACTGAGACGTGGTCCTTCACTGCTGGCCGGATGAGGAAGCTCAAGGTCGCTCAGCGAGCTATGGAGAGGGCTATGCTCGGAGTTTCTCTGCGTGATAAACTCAGAAATGAGGATATCCGCAGTAGAACTAGAGTGACCGACATAGCCCAACGGATTAGTAAGCTGAAGTGGCAATGGGCCGGCCATATAGCTCGAAGAACCAACAACCGATGGGGAAGAAAGGTTCTCGAGTGGCAGCCTCGTACCGGCAGGCGAAGTGTAGGGCGTCCCCCCACTAGATGGAGTGACGACCTGGTAAGACATGCAGGAAGTCGATGGATGCAGGTGGCTCAGGACCGTGCTTTGTGGCATTCTTTGGGGGAGGCCTATGTTCAGCAGTGGACTTGTGAAGGGCTGTAATGATGATGAATGATGATGACCTGTCCTTCCGAAGGACGAGGCCACCATCTCTCTTCCCACGCTTCAACCTCTCTTCACTTTAGTTGGCAACTCCTCGGAAGGAAACACTCAGACAACAGACTGTCTCTTAGTTTCAGGATCATAACAATAAATCCAGCTTTCGTTACCCGTAAATATGTCGAGCACAGCAATTGAGTCACCTCCGTTAAAATTTGAACCATTCCACGATACCAATCAACACGACGGAGTTTTTGGGTCTGCGCCGCACAACACTGATGTTATCTATCTTCAGTCATCGCCTTAGAAGGCCGTCCCTCACACAGATCATCGGTGAGATTAGTGCGACCACGTTTAAACTCATTAAACAAGTTGTAAACAGTGGCACGAGATGGAGCTTCATCGTGAATGGCCGCCAATCGAAGTCTATCATAATTTTCTTGTTGATCCAGTCATAAAAAAAAATGTACGAAAATTTTCTCGCGTTAATTTCATGCTGACGTGACAGAGACATTTTTCAATTTGCCGCCAAATCGTAAACAAATGACAAATTAATAAAATGCATACACAAAAATACTGCCAAAGAGTTCCATTTTCAAAATTTGAACTTATTTTTTTACTACCTATATCGTTTACAAGTGGCCAGTTCTAAAAACTTTCAGTGTCGCCCTCGTAATATTAACGCGTACTAACGCTGCATCTATGTCGCGAGCGATTACACTACATTACACTTTTACTGACGCTTGACGCGACGATTGGAAGTCCACCTTTATTGGTAGCATCCTTTAAGGCAACATAAGAGACACAAATTTTCTAATTATATAAATACATTTTATAGAATACTACATCTATCCTCAATTAATAATAAACAAAAAACCTCCAGTGGCCAGTGGCCAGTTCTAAAAAGCCTCTTAATTACTGCTTTTGCGAATCCACTTAGCAAGCGTAAGGAATACTACGAATTCTTTTTATTATGGAAGTGCCAGCAATGGTCTTTTTATGAGCTGATGAGCTGAAAATATTTTTTATAGGAGACGAGGCAAACGAGCATGCGGCTCACCTGATGGTAAGTGAGAGTGACTAATGATGCATAATAATGACGCTGTGTGGAGGATGATTGGTTTTAAAATAGGTGATCTTTAAAATTCCTAAAAAAATATTTGTAGAAAAAGGCAAAGAAAAAGTGATATTTTTTTACCTCTCGGTAAAGGAGGAGGTGGTTCATTATTTTCAATAATAGGCGGTTCTAAAGGTACTTCTGTGATGATTGGCTTCAGAAAATTGATAACTTCTGACGCAGTCGGCTCTCGTACTCTGTAAACGCAGTCCTTGTGTGCCGGAAATAATTCTTGAAGCTGTAACGTGAAGTTCTGGTAAGTTTTATATATGGTAGAGCCTCACTACAAAGTTTTATGTAGCTGTAGCACCAATGGGTCGACTCTACCAAGGAGAAAATGCTTGTACAAAAAACCAGGGTGAAATAACAGCATAATGTTATTTCACCTTATGCTACTATAGCTGGTTGCTGCTTCGTATAGTGAATGACGGGAACTGGAAATCCTTTTTACTAAAAGTTAATAGAGAACATTTCTTTCTTTTTTAATATTGTAGGAGGTGTAGGTGTATCTGCCTCCCTCCTGCCAGTAGTGTAATAAAGACATGTATACTTCTAGGTTTAGTGGGCAGTAGTAAAGAGATATTGTAATGAGGCAGTCGCTTGTATTGGTCTTGATCACTACACCATCGTAAAGTAAACTATGTCGATACAGCAATAAGGTGCACATCATGTTAGCGTGCAGTTAGTGGTAGTGCCGCTTCGTTCGAATGACAAACTGGGCCGCCATCGTAAAATAAACCATGTAACCATGGCAATAAGGTATACATAACCTCAGCGGGCAGCTGTTGGTAACTCCGCTCCGCTCGAATGAGAAGCTCGGCCGCTATCGCAAATTAAACCATGTAGCCAAGGTAATAAACTGTACATCACCTTGGCGGGCAGTTAGGGGTAGTGTCTTTGCTGTCGAATGAAAACAGGCACGAGCACCATTGTAAAATACATCATGCGCACAAGGCAATAAGGTGCACGTTACCTCTGCGGGCAGCTGGTGGTGCGGGAGCGGCGCGGTGGCCAGCAGCAGCGTGTCGTCGCCGGCGGCGCGCGTGCGCCACAGCTGCAGCAGCAGCGCGGCGCCGTGCGCGCCCAGCGCGCCCCACACCGACACCGCGTCGCGCACGAACACCACGCACCCGCGGTCCGCGCGCCGGCACTCCGAGAACAACTGCAACCACGCGTTTATAAACCGCTATCAACTTATTATTATTAATCTAATATATAAAAATGTATGTTTGTTTGTTGGTATTTTATGTACTGCTATACCCTACATCAGATTGCGCTAAAACGTTGCCATCTTATCCTCGTACTTGTGCGAAGGTTGTAGATATAGTACACTTAACTTAAAACAGGTATAACTTAAATAGGTATAGTACACTTAACTTATAGTACATTTAACTTACAGATTAACAGACAACACATTGATAATAATAATAATCAGATGAGGTTCTATAAATCATCGGAGCAACCAAAAGTATGTGGAACGGACCCAGTACCGGGTCAGGCCAAGACAGTCGCATTCTGGGGTGGCCTGTGTATGTTTTTTTATTTATTTATTCTTTTTTACATCTACCTTATAATAAGGGATATAAAGGGCGGACTTAATGCCTTGTGGCATACTCTACCAGTCAACCCTGGATGATTTGAGAAGCTGTGGTACGTCCAACACCACTCATAAATTAATAAATAAGTAAAAACATTATATCTTTTAACAAAAAGCAAATAAATAAAATATTTTTAAACTATACAAACTTAATTCTGTTAAAGAATTCTCGAACTAGTCTTTTAAAATATTGTTTGTTACTGGTTTTTTTTTTATATGAACAGGCAAGGCATTCCAGAGCAGTATGGATTGCACAATAAAAGAGGAATTAAAGAAACCACTGACTTTGAAGTGGCAACCCCAGGAATAAGTTTGTAAAATATTAGCTCCCAAATAAATTTAAGTTTAATTATTATAAATCATTAATATCCACCTCAATTTTGTGTTGCAATTGTTAATTGTGTTTAAATTATACTGTGTATTAAGTAAAACGTAAGTTACTTACCTAAATATATTATATTTAAACGTTCGGATTTTAAGTGATATGTGAGGTAACGTACATATTGTTTGAATATTACATATTGTAATTCTTGTTATCCCTTCTTATTACATAATTTTTCAGTTCTGTTTTACATATTTCAATCTTTTCTTAAGTGTTTCATTTAAAATCTACAAATATAACCTCACACCATAACTTCTTGTCTTTATTTACACTGCTACTTCTGTATGAAGTAGAAGTTCTAGTTTTAACATTTTTAACTAATAAATACATAGCAAAATGAATACTCGTAATGCCAAGACGCGCCAGCTTGAGACCCAGCTTCAGCTCGCGCTTCAGAAACTAAAAGGTGTGCAAGGAGCAGTGTGAAATATTACTAAAAGAAAGGGATGACAATGAAAAATAAATAGTTGAAATAATTAAAAAGAATACACAATTAAAGTGTGATATGGCAATGTTACACACAGATTATCTTAATGTATTAAAAGGGACCAGCTTCAGGGAACGGTCAAAGAGTTTGATCAGTGCAGCAAGGAATATGAGGAAGCTCTCAAATTCATTGCTGCATTGCAATTACAATTGAATGAAGCCCAAGAGCAAATTTTACAACTAAACAAAAACTTAGACAACTTAAAAGCCTCCAAAACTCAGAGTCTGTTCCATGAACTTGTAGAATGCATAACGTCTCAAGAATCCTCAAAATTGTTACAAACATCATCAACAGTGGATTTGACAGGTGAAGATGCCTTCATATCGGGAACAGCAGGAAGAATCGTTTGCAGTAACAATAAATTAAAAAAATACATTAAAATTAATAAATAGATTAATAAATTGCAAAAAAACATAAAAAATAAAATAAGTATTAAAAATCATGTTAAGTTATGTAAAGAAAAACAAGAACTAATTAATAAGGTCAAAATATATTCAATTGAGGTGGATTGCATTAGGAAAAGTTATGAGACTGACATGGAGTATCTTAATTCAGAAATTTCTTCACTTCATTAGGCACCACAAGTTATGACAAATAAATATAAATTAGCTCAAAATGAAATAAAGGAACATATACTGGCCATGAACGAACTGGTGACACTGTGTAAATATAATGAGGAACGTTTTGAGTCATTAGTAAAACATGAGTGTGAGTGTCAGCGCTCATTACCGGTTACTTCAGGGACAGTATGTGCTAATAATATGGAGAAAAAGAATCCCTCTCCTACTTATAAACTCCATGACAGTTCCAGAACAATAAATAATTTGAATAATTTAAATGTTAGCAAAAATAATATTGTTGTGTACAGTGATGATATAGGTAAAAACTTAGGTTTAGTATTAAATAACTGTCTAAAGGAACACCAAATTACTAATTATTGTATGCCTAGAGCAACATTTAGTCAAATTATAAATAAAATTCTAATAAGTAGCCATAGTTCGAATAGTATATTGATACTTCTTATTGGGAGAAGGGGCAATGTGAATAAAAAAAAATTATTGGATTATATTAAAATTCTAAATAATTTAAATGTTCACAAGATTGTTTTGTTTACATTGCCTTACTTATGGGGTCTGCCACAAGAAAATAAATTAAGACATGACTTAAATATCCAAATGACTAATTTAATATGCAATAATAATGTAAAACTGACATATAATTGTAATAATTATAAATTTCATTTGATTTAAATAATTTAATTAAGAAGTTTTTGACAAGAGATAGGTATTACCTATCAAAGTATAGTTTAAGACTGGTAGCAAACTAGCAAATACGCTATCTTATTATTTATATTTTGTTGCCAATGATTTGGCTACCACCTGCTTCTTTTGAGCAACAAAATAATTTTACATTTGATTTGGAACCAGTTAGTTCTAAGTAATTTAAATTAGATAATAAGACAATAGAGGTAATCTCTAGCAAAGATAATTTAAATAGCTTAGAATGCAACTTACCAATAAATAATTATGTAATTTCACAAAATAACAATAATAAAAACTGTATCCACCTGGTGCATCAAAATATACAAGGTATGTTAGGCAAAGAATTAGAAATTGAATTATTTTTAAATAGTAACAGTATACATATTTTATGTATTACTGAACATTGGTTGAAAGATTACAACTCCATATTTAATTTCAGTAATCACCAGGTGGTCAGTTCGTTCAATAGAGATACTAAGTTACGTGGTGGCTCCTTAATATTAGCTAATAAATCCTTATCATGTAAAGAACGTAAAGACATTGTGAGCCTCTCTGTTGAGCGTACTGTAGAAATGGCATGCGCTGAGCTTGAGCACCTTATTGTTGTCAGTGTTTACAGACCCCTATGTTCAAATTATGATACCTTTGAAAAGGTTATGGAAAAAGTTTTAGTTAAGCTTAATAAACAGAATAAATCTCTAGTTCTGTGTGGAGACTTTAATATCAATCTCCTGGAAACTTCTTCCATCAGTATTAAATTTTGCTCTTTGTTCAAATCCTATAATCTTGATAATTTATTCTTTGAAGCTACACGTATTGCAGGGTGTAGTGCAACTTGTATTGATAATTTTTTTACAGTTGTTGTACCAATCAACAAATCAATAATTCAAAAACTTAGTTCAGATCACTGTGGACAATTACAGGTTTCATTACCTTATATGCACAAAAAACAGGTAATTGAGAAAAGTGTGTTTGTTGCTATTAATACAAAACGCCTGGAGAGATTTAGAAGTAATATGGTAAAAAACCTTCCATCACTTTCTTATAAGAACAATGCAGACTATTTATATGGAGAATTATTTACCCTTATAAACAATGAATTTAAAAAAAACATTTATTTCTAAAACATTCTCCAGAAACAGTCGCAAGGCATTTAATGAGTGGGCGACAGTAGGAATTCATAAAAGCAGACAAAAGTTATATGACCTTTACAATGAAAGATCATATAATCTTTCCGATGCTTTTAAAGAATATGTTAAAAATTATTCTAAAATGTTTAAAAGAGTTTGCTCCACAGCCAAATCGTTAGATATTAGCAACAAAATTAAGACGGATAAGAATAAAATTAAAATGACGTGGAGTATAATTAACAATGAAACCAGTAAAGACAAACCTCGTAACTAAAACTATCAATTAAAAATTAACAATGAACTGACTAAATCAAATCAAGAAGTCGCAGCGGTGTTTGAGAAATATTTCACTGATATTCCTATCTTGACAACCGAGTCATTGAATACTTCTCCAACTGTCGCCGAGTCATTACTTAAACAGAATGTTAACACCTGTTTAAAAGAATTTAGATTTGAAAAAGTATTATCGCAAGATGTTGTAAAATACTTCAAAACTATTGACGTAAAGAAGACATCAGATTTGTGGGGGATTTCCGTTACAGTTATTGCGTCCATAATAGATTTAATTGCACCTCATCTTGCTATTATTTTTAATTTCGATTCTGGTGTGTTTCCTGATTTAATGAAGTATAGTAAAGTAATACCTTTATTTAAATCTGGTAGTACATTGGACCCTGCTAATTTTAGACCTATTTCTGTACTACCAACTCTCAGTAAAATTTAAAAAAAAAATAATTTTGGATCAATTGTTAACTTTTTTTAATACAAATAAATTACTTTATAAAAACCAATTTGGTTTTACAAGGGGTCGCTCGACGTCTGAAGCCGGTGTTGAGCTTATGAAATATATTTTTAATGCCTGGGAGAATTCACAAGATGCCTTAGGTATTTTCTGTGATCTTTCCAAGGCTTTCGATTGTGTTCATCAAGAGACATTAATCAGGAAACTACAACATTACGGTGTAAAAAATTTAGCGCTTAGACTTATTACTTCATATTTAAGTAACAGAATTCAAAAAGTAGTGATTAATGGTAAAGGTTCCTCCGGATCGGTAGTATCCGTTATATATGTATGGTATCAGAGGACCTATATTTGGTCTTGTATCGTCATATTTAAATAACCGATTTCAATGCACTTATGTTAATGAGGAAAATCGATCTGAAGTGCAGGTACGATCTCAGTCACAGCTTGTAAAGTGTGGTGTACCCCAAGGAAGTATACTTGGGCCGCTTCTTTTTCTATTGTACATCAATGACCTACCTAGACATGTGCAGCATGCAATGATCCTTTTCGCAGATGATTC